GCTGTATCTGAATGGATTCGTCTGCTACGATTTGGCGTATTCGCCTCACTCCGTCGACAACCCGTAAGCCATTGATTTTGGCACCTTTAAGTCTGTTCCCTGTACCTCTTTCGAGAGGTGAATAGGATTTGAGAAATTTTGCCTATTCATTCAAGTGACGGTCGACTATTTCTTGGCTTAGCTTAACTGCTGTGTCAGAGTTTATCATCATTTCCAGGAGCCACAACAGACCGTATCTCAGTAGAATAAGCTTATCCATATTTAATGTACTTTACGCTTTATACCTTCAGAAGGCCTCGGATATAATTTATCTTATGTTGAAATAATCGTGCAGTTTATGAAATTTCGCTTCTCGAATATAAATACATATTCGAATTAAATTCATTACAGTTATCCATTACATAGCATATTTTTTGTGTGTTGATACTCGTACCGACTCTGCCAAAACAGGAGCGTTAAGACTACTCTATTTTCTACTGGTTGGGTGATCCCCACGTCCTGATGGCACTAATCGCTGCCGTTCAAAGGCTGCTTAGTCGTCACAGTTGACCTATGTATCTGGGGGTCATTCTCCTATTCGAAACCCTACGATGCATCAGATTTCTCACAATTTAGCTCACTACACCATTAGCACAGTTTAACTGAATGCAGTGCAAAACGGTTCGTCTGTTGGTTGATCAACCACTACTAGTGTCCTATTCATTGTTTTCGGTTGCCTTTATTGATCTCATCTGCTGCAGTTGGAAAGCATCAATCCATAAGGCAAAATGAACGCCGGAAGATAACGAAAAGGAAAGTAGTTTCCATATGTGTCCTTATTTTTGAGGTAAAGTATCATAATCAAACCCTGTCTCGTTTGTTTCGGCTGATTTGCTTCAGAGTATTTTGTTAGTACTTATTGCTTTTTTAAAGGACCAAGACTCATACCGTAGAGTCAGTAGATTCAGCAGTTTGTGACAAATCCCTTATCGCATGTGGTACAATTTGTCGATCGATAGACGCAATATTCACTGCTAATTCCACTGACATGAACTTCATCCGATTAGTTAGCCAATTTTTTTTTATGACCGGGGTAGTATGGTCTGATGCGTGGTGGCATGTGGGGCTGCATAAAACTGGAAAAAATTCTGTCAACACAGTGTAGCATGGCCGGCCCAAACACGATGATCTCCCTGTTGTTCGCACATCCATCCCCTGCTACCCTTTTCTTCACTGGTTTCTTCCAAGTGCAACGGGGTGGATTTTTGCTTAAGGGACTTAGCAGAAATGTTTACGTCTAGCACTGGATTTGAAACTAGAAGCTCCATTGTTCGTGGAGGACATGCTGCGTACAGCGCCACTGCCCCATTCCCGCGGCCTGTACCACAGCTAAAGCTTATGATTCTTATGGCAGTCTTATTCGATGCTCCTGACTGACTCACCTGATAGCTGATATTTCCTTCATCGCGTTGCAGATGAGTTTAAAAGTCGATCATATTCAACCATCCATCTGTCAATCATCCAATTACATGACTATGGCGTTTACTGGTGGCAACAGCGACACCGCCATTTAGCGCTGCAAAATATTCCTCTTTCTTACATGTCTAAGGTTTCCTGACTGTTCACACCGTTAGCCCACCATCGTCGATTTATTGCAATGAACAATGCTGTTTGTCACCAGTAAGAGACGCTTGTTTTTTTCTTACAGAGACCAGCGGATAACGCAAGACGTGGAAAAGACCTGTCGTCTGTTCAGTGATATATTCTGTCGATTGGTCATGGCCCCGTTCATCATCATCTACTACTCCTACCAGACGTACGCCAGGTGAGAAACAGAGCACGTGATTGCTAGAATTGTTGCTTGTCGGTCACGAAACGTCAGTTGACTTCTCCTTTTAGTACTGGCTACCTTGGTCCGTTGACCATTTATGCGTATTTCATTTTGGCGACCATCGTCAACAAAATGGCCATGTCACCGGTGGTTCGAAACGTGGTCAAGCAGGAGAAAAAGGAAGGCGATTTCAGGTAACAACTTCAGAACGAGAAGATTCGTGCGGTTCGATGACCGAAAGCAGGATTTGGGTTTAAGTAGCGACTTCTGATTATGTCGTTTGCTTTCTTAAACGATTCCTCAGTTATGAATCACGTGTCGTCATCAACGGAATTTCAGGTTTGTAGGGATCTTAAGGTAACTACAA